GTCCTTCTACAATAGTGTTTCTCAGCTTTGGGATACATTAGAATCACCTAGAGAGCTTTTAAAAAATGCATGCTTGGGCACCCCACCTGTGATTTAATGAATCAGAATCTTCAGATATGAGGCCCGAACAGGTGTGTTTACTGATGCTCCCTGAAGTTAGAAAATGATGATAAGGTCAAGCCAGTCTGGTACTTAGTTGAGTCCTTCTACAATAGTGTTTCTCAGCTTTGGGATACATTAGAATCACCTAGAGAGCTTTTAAAAAATGCATGCTTGGGCACCCCACCTGTGATTTAATGAATCAGAATCTTCAGATATGAGGCCCGAACAGGTGTGTTTACTGATGCTCCCTGAAGTTAGAAAATGATGAGCAGCATCCGGACCGTGATATAACATCCAGCAGAATCAAAGTTTACTTGATGTCAATATGAAAATGAACTAATAAGCAAAGTTGCTGCTTGGAAAATGAGAGCAATGGTATGTAAAAAACTATTTGAAATAAGTAAATATTTTAAAACATTGGTTTATTTCTAATTATCTTGCTTCATGCTATCAAAACTAGCCAGATTTTACATAATCCTAAAACTATGTCTACACGTGCTAAGAGCATAGTACAGCTAACTACATTATCAATTCATGTGCATAAAAAGCTGTTAAAAGAAAACTGGATTTGGAGTTCAAACTGGATTTTTTAAAATACTCTAACATAACCAGGTTCTATCTAATTCCTTTCAAACCCACAATAATAACAAAAAGCAATCTACTCATAAGACAAAAAGCTTACTTTAAAATAATCAAATCTTTCTAATTTTTCCAACACCATTTATTGAATAGACTATCTTTATGCCATTGTATGTTTTTGCCTCCTTTGTCAAATATTAAAGGCGAGGGTTGGACAGATACATACAAAAAAACTAAACCACCTTCTTACACTGCAAATATGAATAAATTCAAAATGGATTACAGACTTAAATAAAAGACTTGAAACTATGCCCTGGCTGGTTTGGCTCAGTGGATAGAGCGTCAGACTGCAGACTCAAGGGTCCCGGGTTCGATTCCAGTCAAGGGCATGTACCTTGGTTGCGGGCACATCCCCAGTAGGGAGTGTGCAGGAGGCAGCTGATTGATGTTTCTCTCTCATCGATGTTTCTAACTCTCTATCCCTCTCCCTTCCTCTCTGTAAAATATTAATAAAATATATATTTTTTTAAAAAGACTCGAAACCATAAAAATTCTTGGAAGAAAACACAGGCAGTAAAATCTCAGATATTTCTCGTAGCAATATTTTTTCTGATACATCTCCTCAGGCAAAGGAAACAAAAGAAAAAATAATCAAATGGGACTACATTAAACTAAAGAATTTTTGCACCACAAAGGAAACCATCAACAAAATGAAAGGACAACCCACTGAATGGGAGAACATATTTGCCAATGATATATCTGATAAGGGGCTAATATCCAAAATTTTAAAGAACTTACGAAACTCAACACCCCAAAAAACAATCCAGTTAAAAAATGGACAAAGGATCTTAATAGACACTTCTCCAAAGAGGACATACATATGGCCAATAGACATATGAAAAAATGCTCAATGTCTCTAATCATCAGATAAAACCACAATGAGATATCACCTCACACCTATCAGAATGCCTATCATCAATAAATCAACAAACAACAAATGCTGGTGAGGATGTGGAGAAAAGGGAACCCTTGTGCACTGTTGGTGGAAATGCAGACTGGTGTAGCCACTGTGAAAAGCATATGGGGTAATCTCAAAAAAATTATAAATGGAACTGCCTTATGACCCAGCAATTCCACTTCTGGAAATTTATCCAAAGAAAACCAAGACACTAATTTGAAAGAATATATGCCCCCTTATACTCATTGCAGTATTATTTACAATAGCCAAGATTTGGAAGCAGCCCAAGTGTCCATCAGTAGATGAGTTGATAAAAATGTTGTGGCACATTTACACAATGGAATACTATTCTGCCATAAAAAAAAAAAACAAAGAAAATTTTACCTTTGGGACAGCATGGATGGACATGCGAAGAAAATTTTACCTTTGGGACAGCATGGATGGACATGGAGAGCATTATGCTAATCGAAATAAGCCAGCCAGGGAAAGATAAGTACCACATGCTTTCACTCATATGGGGAATTTAATGAACTGTACTTCCTAGCAAGATAGAGACAGACTCATATATAGAAAGCAGGCAGACAACTCTGGTGGTGGTGGGAGAGACAGTGGAGGGATTGAGCAAATAAAGAAAAAAGAGAGATTGAATTCATGGATATGGACAACAGTGTGGTGATTGCAATAGCAAATAGGATTGTTTTCTTAGTTTCTCTTTCTGACAGTCCATTAATGGTGTATAAAAATGCCACCTATTTCTGAATATTAATTTTGTATCCTGCTACTTTGCCAAATTCATCTATTAGACCTAGTAGCTTTTTGTTGGAGTCTTTAGGGTTTTCTATGCATAACATCATGTTATCTGCAAATAAAGATAGCTTTACTTCCTCCTTTCTAGTTTAGATGCCTTTTATTTCTTGTCAAATTGGTATGGCTAGGACTGACTAACAGTGGTGAAAGTGGACATCCCTTTTTCTGGAACTTAAGAAAAACATTTTCAGTTTTTGTCCATTGAGTATGAGGTTGGCTTTAGGTTTGTAATAAAAAAGGCCTGGTATTGGCATAAGAACAGGCATATAGATCAATGGAACAGAACAGAGACCCAGAAATCAACACACACCATTATGGTCAATTAATATTTGACAAAGGAGGCAAGAGCATACATTAAAGACAATCTCTTCAATAAAGGATGTTGGAAAAACTGGACAGGTACATGCAAAGAAATGAAATTAGATCACCAATTTATACCATACACAAAAATAAACTCAAAGTGGATAAAAGATTTAAATGTAAGTTGTGAAACCATTAAAAATACTAGAGAAAAAAAACACATAGGCAGTAAAATTTTAGACATCTCATGCAACAGTATTTTCACTGATACAACTCCTAGGTCAAGGAAAACAAAGGAAAAGAATAAACAAATGGGACTATATCAAACTAAAATACTTCTGCAAAGCCAAAGAAACCGCCCACAAAATAAAAAGGAAATCCACTAAATGGAAGAACATACTTGCCAATGATACATCTGATAAGGGGTGAATTTCCAAAATATACAAAGAACACATACAACTCAAAACCAGGAAGATAAAAAATCCAATTAAAAAATGGGCAGAAGACCTGAATAGACACTTCTCCAAAGAGAACATGCAGATGGCCAATAGACATATGAAAAAAAATGTTCAATGTCACCAATCATCAGAGAGATGCAAACTAAAACTACAATGAGGTATTCCTCCCACGTGCCAGAATGGCTACCATCAATAAATCAACAAACAATAAGTGCTGGCAAGGATGTGGAGAAAGGGGAACCCTAGTGCACTGCTGGTGGGAATGCAGAATGGTGCAGCCACTGTGGAAAACAGTATGAAGTTTCCTCAAAAAATTAAAAATGGAACTGTCTTTTGACCAAGGGATCCCACTCTAAGAAGCCTGAAACATCAATAAGAAAGAATATATGCGCCCCTATGTTCATAATAGCATTATTTATAATATTGAAGATCTGGAAATAGCCCAAATGCCTATCAATTGATGAGTGGATAAAAAAGCTGTGATACTTTTACATAACGAAATACTACATGGCTGTAAAAAAGAAGGAGGTCTTACCTCTTGTGACAGCATGGATGGACCTAGAGATTATTATGCTAAGCGAAATAAGAATATCACATGATCTCACTTATATTTGAAATTTAATGAACAAAAAACCCTGATGAACAAAATAGGTCCAGAGGCATAGATGCATACAACAGAATGACAGATCTCAAAGTGGAGGTGGTGGAGGGGACAGGAAGAGATTAACCAAATAACATATATCCATATATTCATAACCCATGGACACAAATAATAGCATAGGGAAGGCCTGTGGTGGGGGCTTGGTGGAGGGGGACAAAGGAGGTGAGGAATGAGGAACATCTGTAATACTGTCAACAATAAATTTAAAATATCATAATGAGATATCGCTTTACATCTGCCAGAATGGCTATCATCAATAAATCAACAAACAACAAGTGCTGGTGAGGATGTGGAGAAAAGGGAACCCTAGTGCACTGCTGGTGGGAATGCATACTGGTGCAGCCACTGTGAAAAACAGTATGGAGTTTTCTCAAAAAATTAAAAATGGAACTGCCTTTTGACCCAGCGATCCCACTTCTTGGAATATATCCTAAGAAGCCTGAAACACTAATTTGGAATAATATTTGCACCACTATGTTCATTACAGCATTATTTACAATTATCAAAATCTGAAACAGCCCAAGTGCCCACCAGTAGATGAGTAGATAAAAAAGCTGCAATAGCCTAACCGGTTTGGCTGAGTGGATAGAGCGTCAGCCTGCGGACTCAAGGGTCCCAGGTTCGATTCCGGTCAAGGGCATGTACCTTGGTTGCGGGCACATCCCCAGTAGGGAGTGTGCAGGAGGCAGCTGATCAATGTTTCTCTCTCATTGATGTTTCTGACTATCCCTCTCCCTTCCTCTACGTAAAAAATCAATAAAATATATTTTTTTTAAAAGCTGCAATACATTACACACCTGAATACTATAATACTGTAAAAAAGAAGAAAATCTGGAACTTCTGGTCAAGATGGTTGTGTAGGTAAACACAGTAGTTGAATTTTCCTACAAACACATCAAAATTACAACTAAACTATAGAACAACAATCTTTCAGAACCTCCTGAAATCTAGCTGAGTGGAAGTCCTACACCGAGGGATTTAAAGAAGAATCTACAAGACTGGGAGGAGGGTTGAAGATGTGGAACAGGCATGTCCACATGTGGCAGTTTAAAATGGGGAGGAAGCCTGGCCGGTATGGCTTGTGGTTGAGTGTTGACCCATGCACCAAGATGTTGCTGGTTTGATTCTTGGTCAGGGCACATACCTGAGTTTCAGGCTTCATCCCCAGGTGGGGAAGTGCAGGAGGCAGCGATTGATGTTGATGTTTCTCTCTCTCCCCTTCCCTTCCCCTCTCTCTAAAATCAATAATGAAAACATATTTAAAATTAGGAAGGATATCTCAGCTGCAGAGGTTCCCCCTGTGGAACCCTACACCAGGCCTCAGAACCCAGGGTTCCAGAGCCAAAAAGAGAAGTCCCCATAAATAAATATATATAATTGATTTTTTTTTTTTTACAGAGAGGAAGGGAGAGGGATAGAGAGTTAGAAACATCAATGAGAGAGAAACATTGATCAGCTGCCTCCTGCACACTCCCTACTGGGGATGTGCCCGCAACCAAGACATGCCCTTGACTAGAATCGAACCTGGGACCTTTCAGTCTGCAGGCCGACACTCTATCCACTGAGCCAAACCGGTTAGGGCAAGGTCCCCATAACTTCTGACTGTAAAAACCAGAAGAAGTTGAGGTGGAGGAAAACAGAATTGCTGGAGTCCCAGGCAATTCCTCTTAAAGGGCCTGTGCATGGACTTACTCATACTTACTCCCTCTGTGTTCAAGTGCTGGAGTAGCAGCTTGAAAGGAACCAAGGACATATGGTGATGAATTAAATTGTCTGGCATCAGGACAAGAGCTGGCGTAGGACAGCTTTCTACCTGAAAGAAATGGTGGCAGAGGCCACTGTTCCTTTTCTGAGACCACCCTTACAGAACCAGCGGGAAGGATACACTAACTGAAATGAAGACTAATTTACCGGGAAACAACAGTAGAGTAGATGAAGCTGAGAATCAAATCAGCGCTTGGGAATGTAAGGAAGCAAATACACCCAATCAGAACAGCAAAAAGAATCCAAAAAAGTGAAGATAGTGTATGGAGCCTCTGGGACAACTTCAAGTGTACCAACATTCACATCATGTGGGAGATGAGAGAGAGAGCAAAAAATTGAAAACCTATTTGAAAAAATAATGACATAATACTTCCCTAACCTGGTGAAGGAAATAGACATACAAGTCCAGAAAGCCCCAAACAAGATGAACACAAAAAGGCCCACACCAAGACACATCAAAATTAAAATACAAAATTAAAGACAAAGAAAGAATTAAAAGCAGCAAAAGAAAAGCAGTTAGTTACCTACAAGGGAGCTCCCACAAGTCTGAAAGGGTATTGTCTTTTTAACACTTGGGTTTCAAAAGTGAAAAGCATTGTGGCATAGTTCTGAATTGAAAGGAGATGATAAAATAATTTCCTGAGAACATCTTGTGTCATAGTATTGCATTTCTGCATTTAATATCATCTTTAACCTTCGTGTCCAGCTTCAGTAAATTTAATGTTATTCACTAATTCCAGATTAAACTCTCAAGGTTTAATTTAAATAGCATTCAGCCACTAGAAAGGGAGAGTGACTGGTAAATGTTACTTAAGTGCCTAAGTAACCTTGCATCTTCTTTATGCACTTTGACAGTGAAGAACAATGACAAAAAAATAAGAATGGCCAAGCCATACATGTTTCCAAAAGTCAGATTATGTATTAAAAACCTTTATCTCTTCTTAAGCTGACCCATTAGGAAATATTCATAATTGTATGATAGAAACCAGTATACCATTCACACAAAAGGCATAATCAACACAGTAAAAGCATAATCCTCATGAAAAGTCTCAAGTTTACTAATATGTAGTAACAACTTCTCATTTTATTTAAAACTCAGTGGATGTAGGAAGGAATGGTTCTGACCAATCCCAAAGAAACAATGTTATCTGACAGGAACTAACCCTTAATAAATGCAGCATCATGGATAAAACCAAGTTCTGCTACTTACAATGAAGTCTCTTGCCTTCCTCTACTATCATTTCATAGTATTATCTTTATATTGGTTCGAAATAAATGCATGCGTTATCATATCACTAAACAGACAGACACTAAAAATAATCTTGTTAAAAAGAAAATCTTGCCGAACCGGTATGGCTCAGTGGATAGAGCATAGGCCTGCGGACTGAAGGGTCCCAGGTTCGATTCCAGTCAAGGACATGTATCTTGGTTGTGGGCACATCCCCACTGGGGGGCGTGCAGGAGGCAGCTGATCGATCTCTCTCATCGATGTTTCTGACTCTCTATCCCTCTCCCTTCTTCACTGTAAAAAATCAATAAAATATATTTTAAAAAAAATAAAAAGACAATGCTCCTTGAGCAGCTGAAGATATATCTGAGATTAGTTCTTCTTTCTTTCCTGTGACAGATTTGTGCTGCTAGATTTGGACCTACCTAGTTGAGGTCAGTTTCAAAAGATGACACTATGCTCCCAGGAGCAGAAACCATTTAATGTTCTGTGGTCAGAATAGACTATTTCAGCTTTCACGTTTTACTCTAAATCCAAAAACTTCCCAGTGTCAGTATCGAACTGAGGCTGCTTCTAGTTATGTAGTTGCTATTTTCCTGTGCTCTTGTGACTTACCTTTAACGTTTCTTTTTGCCTTCCCAAACAGGTTATAAACCCAGTAGAACAGGGACATACGTTCATACTTCTCTTTATTTACATCCCAAAAACTTCCCTGCACATGGCAGGAGTTCAATCAAGTTGTTAGAATTACAGATTTAAGAACCCACAGTTGCTTCCATTAGAAATAAGATTTGCAGTCATAAAACTTTAAGGTAGAAAATACAAGTTTATATCTGATCTGTTTCCTACTTTGTACATATATGGTAGCTCATAGTCTAGTTCTAAATCATACAGAATATCATCTTCTTCCTCTTGAGATGACCCTACAAAGAGAGAACCCACCATTTTGGCTTTTGTTGAGGGTAAGAAAAAGTATCTAGTGATCCACATTGTGAATCAAGCCAGAACTTAGACAGAAGGACAATTTGGCACATTCCCCACTCTGGGCCTCAGAGTCCAGGTCAGCTCTGCACTCACTAATGTCCCCTAGTGCTGCCCTGTACCCCCAACCGGGCTGAATCTGCTTCTTCATGGGATTGCTTACCACTCCCTACTCAAATTACAAATCCTTCTCCTCCCCTCTAATTAAAGGGAACTAGGCCTCTGAATATTGAAGAAGTTCGACTTAAAATGGGAAATCAAAGAACTTTTAATCAGGTACCATGATCACCTTTTAGGGCCTCAAACAGCAGTTTGGAGATGCCAAAGAGGAACAGGCCCAGCAACATCTGGTAGATCCTGGATGCCAGGCTACCAACTCTACAGTATAGAGCATCTCACTCTCCCAGAAGCCAGCCACTGAGAGTGTCCCTGTCAATGTTCAGTCACCATAGTTTAACCTTTACAAATAAGAGTGGAATTTTCCCATTTCTGTCTATGATATTAAAAATTATTTCCATTGTAGGGAAGATAAAACAGTGAGAAACAGAATTTATGAGCTACTTCCTGTACATCTGGGCAATAATTCTTCAACTTGACACCCCTGTGGACAAGCTTAAAATAAAACCATGATTATTATTTTAGGTCCCCAGATATTTTTCCAGGAATTCCCTCTAAATATATTTTTCATGTTTGGCAAAAAGAATTAACACAAAATGAATAATAAAGTTATTTATAGTGTTCCTTAGAGTCTTTGGAAGGAAAAAGATATGACTAAATTTTTAAATAATTACTCTTTTCTGCCAAAAGAAAGAAAGATGGTTAAGGCAGGGCCAGTTAGTTTTTGTTTAAGACAGCTGGAAGATATGGTTATTGTTATGCAGCACCCCATCAGCAGAGATGCCACTACCAAGAAATATAAAATTCATGCCAATTCCCTCCATTCCATCTAAACATATTTAATGATAGAAACCCTGTGTGCTTTATCCATTTGTTCAACAGACATTCATTAGTTCCTACTATGCTCGAAGTCACAGGAAAGGGGGAAGAAGAAAACTACCACTGTGGACACTTCAGAATGTTCATACCCAGTGTGGAAGGCATTTCCAGGCATTTGTACTGGAAATGTACAAACATGTTCTCATTTAAAGTCTAAGGACACAGTGAAAACAAATAAACCTTGTTTAATTAATTAAATTACATGTTCTTATCTCCAATACACAAATGAGGAATTCAGTTTTTAAGAAGTTAATTAACTTGCCAAGCTAGTAAGAGGTGGAATTGGAATTCAGTCTATTCTACTCTAACTTTTGCTCTTTCAAATTTATTGAGGTATTTGTTGGGAAACAAATAAAAAATAAGATCTGTACTCAAAGTACTTATGGTCCAGAGGAAGAAAATACACAGATAAAACAAGCAACCACAACACAATGTAAATGAAAACAAAGTGAAAAAAAATTTTTTAATTGTGCATAAAATGCCAAGAAGAAGAAAGTTTTATAAGAGGTAATTTTATGCTGAGGCTTTTCCAAAGATTAATTTATCCAATTTAAAGCTATAATTGAGTATATTCTATGTGCTTAGCATAATACATAGGAGGTGCTCAATAAATAACTATTGAATTAATGAATGAATGAGTCAGATTTCTTTAGGTGAACATAAAATGGTAAAACCATTATTAAAGGAGAGTATACGAAGGCATGGAGACCTTCGAAAAGCCACATTCCTCTCTGAGAACTGTAAGTGGGCAGGGAGATTATAGGAAGAGAAGTGCCTGGAGGGGCAGGGATGGGCACTGTGGAGCATTGTACTGCCAGTGTTTAAGAACTTGAACTTATCCCACTGGAAAGTTATCAATGTGGATAATTGGATCAGTGTCATCAAATCCCACAAATCCAAAGGGCACCATGCACTTTATATCATATATGAATAGTGTCTCCTCACACCAAGAACTGGGTAAATGGAAGTCCTGACAAGGCAAATGAATGATACTGCATACCTGCAACTGAACCTAGGGAAGCACACATGGAAAAAAGCCTAAAATTTGCAGTGAAAGTTCAAACTCTCAACTTCATTTCAACAGAGTCAAAGAAGCCTCCTTAAAAAACCTCTGTCAAAATTACAGTGTTGGTTACAGAATCAAGCAGAAACTCCTGAAAGCACTGCCTCCTGCTGCCTATAGATTA